ATTTGGACGACGCTGTAAATTCGACAATTTTGTCGAACCTCCGGTAGAATTTGGACAATTGTCGAAATTCTATCGTAATTTGGACACTGTCCAAATTCAGTTGGCGAAATTCCTATTGTCGAATTTCCATAGAACCCTTTTAACAACTGATCATATAATAAATCAGTTTTATTGAAAACGCCACGGATTTTGTCATTGTTATTATGGATCCAATTATAAGATAAATGATTTTCAGAATATCTACAAAAATAGATAAACGCAACGGATGGTATATTATAGAAAGACATGACACGACTCCGAATTATTGAACCACTGAAAATCAAAATAAATCTTTGATCATCAGTTAATTTTGTATCCATTATATGATTAAGACATTTTTGAAAATTACAGAATGATTGAATATGAGGAAATACACGACGCAAACGTTGTCGTAATTGTACAGAATCATCGTGATCGATGCGATTGTTGATGGGTATTTCTAACCAAATAATAAAAACATTTTCGACATGGAAATCATTAATATCTGTCAAATTGGGAATAACACTGGGTTGCTGCAAAGATTCAATACGATTTTTATGACGACGTATCTGCCGATTTCCCATGTCTGAAATATGTCAAATACAGAAGAAGTATATCATATAGAAGTTTAATGTAACACAATTTGAAGTCATTCGTTACAGAGGCTAAATCAAAAACTTCGTTACTAGCTTGAGTCTGAATGTATCAGATCGAGTGACTTGTGCATCATAGTCAGTTAGGAATGATAACTGGCAAGGCAATTAGCAACGAAGACACATACTTAAACATGGATAGTAAATTTTAAATGCCGATAGATCACATGTATTTAAAATACCTCATCTATTACAAAGTTTATTGATTCGTCACGTACATAATAATAATAATAATAATAATAATAAGAGGAAGAAGAAAAGAAAGACTCAACTAGGGTGCTCATAGTTCAGTTTTTTGAACTGAACTGAACTATTTCTGCCAGTTCCGTTCATCAGCTCCATGCTACGAAAACAACTTATCTAGTGGCGGTACGACCGGGAGAAAGGTTGAGAGAAGCGAACCCTACTCTGATTTTACCTTTCCGCGCCAATACTGATCTTATCTCATTGAATTTAAAGAGTCCAAACAGTTCCGTTCAGTGAACCGAACTGTTTTGATATCGATTCAGTTCAAAGAATTGAACTGTTGTAACCAGTTCTTCAGTTCATTTGAACCGATTCATGAACTGAACTACTATGTGTGCCCCTAGACTCAACTTATCATGCGGCAAGTTGAATAGCCGGAAGAAATCAGAGCTCTCGTAACATCGAACATGGATACGTTGAAAAAAAAACAGTCATTTGGTAACAAAGTTTTCGGAAAGATCGTGACGATTAATGCAAGAAGCTCGTAAGGTCGACAGCTTTCGGAAGGAATCGAACAAGATTGCGGCGAAATGTGCATAATGAAAAACATCATATTCTAGAATAGTACATCTTATTTCAATGGTTACGATAATTCTGTATAATTTGTTACGAAATCTATGATTTTTTATTTACGAAAGTTTTGTCACAGGTTTTTCTACTGTCAAATCATTACAAGAACCAGAAAAAAAAATCATAACAAACCGAAATTTTCTGAGTAGTGATGCTATATTTATTAAAAATCTATACGATGGAAATTTTTCAGAGGTAAAACTATGGAAAATAACACCGAAGTCAAGACGAAATGGCTTCTATAAATAATTTATCGCGGTCTGCCCGGGAAAAAATTTTTCGATCAAAACCGCGGTAGATCACGGTGCGAGAGGGCGTTGCTGTCGGCGGTTTAATTGAACCGCGAAAGTCAGACCTTTTATTAGGTTCTCTCACACCGGCCGAAACCGCGGTTTGATAATACCGCGGTTATTAATGGTTTTTCGAAAAAAAAGTAATTCGCCATCATGGTGGTATATCATCACTGCTATCTATCTCATTATCATCTACTATCTTCACATGGTCATTTCACACCTCGGTCAGCTCATTAGATACCACTTCCTATTTTTTATTCTTATTCTTTTAATTAGATTTGAACGGCTTACCTTATGATTGTAGTCCCCTAATTCCATTGAACCATCTGGT